CATACATACAAACAAACATACATACATATATACTTACATACACATACATACAGACTTACATACATACAAACATACATACATACATACCTACATACATACATACATACATACATACATACATACATACATACATACATACATACATACATACATACATACATACATACATACATACATACATACATACATACATACATACATACATACATACATACATACATACATACATACATACATACATACATACATACATACATACATACATACATACATACATACATACATACATACATACATACATACATACATACATACATACATACATACATACATACATACATACATACATACATACATACATACATACATGCATACATACATACATACATACATACATACATACATACATACATACATACATACATACATACATACATACATACATACATACATACATCTAGCTGTTGGTCAATTGTTTTTTGCTGTTGATTTTTTGCGTTTTTTCGAGTCGTTTTTCAGTATTTTCGGTTGACTTTTGGACGGACTATTCACTTTAGTTTCAGAGAATTCAATTTTTTGGTTAATATCGATATTATAGGGGTTTTTGTTAATTTTTTAAGTTGAATTAATTTTCATTTTTTGGTATATTCGTTTTAAGCTGCGTTGTACAATATTCAGGTTGTTGGTGATTGGACAATTGCTAGCATGCCGAATGCTAATGATAGAGTGTGCACTTGTTGTAAAAATGAAATTAAAAGAACTGAAAAAGAATTACAATGCAGTTCATGCAAATCTCATGTGCGCACAAAGTGTGTAAACATATCTGATTCTTATTTACCTGTGTTTGAAATGAAACATGTGAAATTTCATTGCGATGGCTGTCTGGAAATTTTCGAGAATTTTGACAATGCCTTAGTAAATGTTGATAGACATTTTGTAAAATCTGCAGTTGAAATTGCTGCTATTTGTGAATCAAACAAACAGCTCATTTCTGAAGTAAATGAAATGAAACAATTGTTGAATAATTTTGGAAAAGATAGTGTGGCCGTCGGTCCTGAGTTTGCTAAAGAAATGGATATAATAAAAAAAGAGTTGAAGGTTAGCTTTGCTGATGTTGTTAAAGGTGAATTTAAAAATGAAATAAAATCCGTCAATACTGAGGTCATGAATGTAAGTAGAAAATTAGATGAGAAGAGTGAGCGGAAAAAGAGAGAAAATAATATATTAGTATTTGGTCTTAAGGAACAAGGTACAATAATTGAGGAAAAAAATGTTGTATTAAAAATATGTAAAGAATTGTCATGTGATTTAATTGAAAATACTAATGATTTCAAAATAAGTAGACTGGGAATAAAAGGTGAGTCACCACGGCCTATGTTGGTTGCTGTCAGAAATAACAATACCAAAACTGCCATCATGAAAAATTTGTTCAAAATCAAATCATTTGATTCTGATTTGAATAAAATTATAATTAGACATGATTTGACACCCCAGCAAAGATTGTCGTTGAAAAAAATGATTGATAAGGCAAAGGAAAAACAGGCGAATGACCATACGGGTTTTTTATGCAGGGTCAGGGGAGAGCTGGGGGAATGGAGAATAGTAAAATTCAAAAAGATGGAGTTAACTTAGAAGGTGTAAAATCATATAAATATAGTGTTGGGTTGGTTAATAATGGGGTTAAATTTGGGTTATTAAATATTAGGTCAATTATTACTAAATGGGGGGATGTATATCAATTATTAATGGAGGGTCTGGATATTTTTGTTATCGTTGAATCGTGGCATGGTTCCTCTGATCATATATCGGTGAAAATGTCAATGCCACCTGGATATATGTTTGTTGATTATTTGAGAGTAAATGATCCATACCATGGGGGGTTAATAATTTTTTTCGAAATTGGTACAAATTTGAAAAAATAAATGTACCTGTTTTTTCATCATTTGAGGCACTTTGTCTTGCCTTGACAATTGATAAAGTTAAAATACTTTTTTTGGCGATGTATCGGCCTGGCTCTGTAATGATATCTTCATTGTTTTTTGAGGAACTGTCTTCAATATTAGAATTTGTAACATCACTATGTGATAAAGTAATTTTATTGGGTGATCTCAATATACATGTTGAGAAAAGTGATTGTGGTCACACTATCCACCTTAATAATTTGTTTGATCTGTTTCTAATGCGTAATGTCATAAATGAGGCTACGCATAATTTAGGAGGTATACTAGACCTCATCGTGTCTGGTTATCAAATGTCGGTTAATGATATCAAGATATATCCGAGTGGGGTACACTCGGATCATAGTTTGATACCTATATCACGTCCGCTTTCTCGTAAAATGAAAAAATCAGTGCGCTCTTGGAATCGAATTGATAAAAATAAATTGATTTCATTAATTCAAGAATCACCAATTGTTAAATTTTGTGATATTATTGATGCAAATGAAGCTGCTGAGCTATTTAGTAATGAATTATTAAAAATTGCTGATGCCGTTGCACCGATTCATATGGTTGAAACAAAAATTGTGGCGACTGCACCTTGGTATGATGGTGAGTGTCGTAAGATAGGGTTGATTGTCGAAGGGCAGAAAGAAAATATAGATTACATTATAGAATGGGGGACAAAAAATTGTGGATTGAATCATTAAGGTTAAAAAACAACCATTTCAGGGAGAAAAAAGAAAATTATTGGAAAAAATTGGTTGATGAAAATGCTAATGATCCTAAAAAATTATGGAAAATTTTAAATAAAATTTTATGTAAAGAGTCATCAAATGATTGTTCTATGGCCCATACAGCTAACGATTTTGTTGAATTTTTCATTAAAAAAATTGAAGGGATAAAAAACAATATATCTGTAGCTTGAGAGCCTACTATAAAGTGTAGGTCTAATGTTGACGTAAAATTTTGTGAATTTTCGCGGGTATCGCAGTCTGAAGTTAGAACCTTTGTAATTAGTTTTGGTAAAATCTTGTTCATTTCAATTGCGCCAATTGTATCGAATTAAAAAGAGTTTGAACAAAATTGAATCGGGAAAAAACTCAGCTCAGTTGGAACTTGGCAGCAAACCTCTAGGATTAACGTTGATTTTGTGAAAATAAGTGACATGATTATTGATTTTGGAAAAATGGCTACAGTTTTGGGTTTTAAAATAGATAAAAATCTATGTATGGGTGAACATATAAAGGTTTTGGTAAAATCTTGTTCATTTCAATTGTGCCAATTGTATCGAATTAAAAAGAGTTTGAACAGATCAACCATGGTTACTCTGATTCATTCGTTCATACATTCTAGATTGGACTATTGTAATAGTTTGTTTTATGGTGTTTCGAAACATGAGATTGCTAAGTTGCAGATGGTTCAGAATAGAGCTGCAAGAATTGTTGTTGGTGCTAGTCGTGTTGAACACATTAGCCCACTTCTGTCGGAATTGCATTGGTTGCCGGTCAGCAAAAGAATTGTTTTTAAAGTCTGTGTTTTGGTTTATAGATGCTTAAACGGATTGGCTCCGCAATATCTGTCCGAAATGTTGATTGACAGATTATCGATTTCTTTAAAAATTGGCCTACGATCAGATCGGGGAAACTTGTTAGTGGTCCCGGTTACTAAATTAAAGATTGCATCACGTAGTTTTGCAGTTTATGGACCAAGGCATTGGAATGAACTTCCATATTTTTTGCGCCGGTCTGGTCTGACACTTCCCCAGTTCAAGAGTCAATTGAAGACATATCTTTTTTCCTTGTAGAAAATTGCCATAGTTGTAAAGCGCCTATGAGAATGTTTTTAATAGGCGCTATATAAATGATCATATAATAATAATAATACATACATACATACATACATACATACATACATGCATGCATGCATGCATGCATACATACATACATACATACATACATACATACATACATACATACATACATACATACATACATACATACATACATACATACATACATACGTACGTACGTACTATCAAAGAGAGAGAAAACAACGTCATTATTTTCAACTTAAATGAATCTAATAGAAAGGACAATGATTCAGTTTCTGCTATTTTGCGCTCTCTCACTGATAACTCTGTCAAAGATGATGATATTTTTAAGTCACCAGACAAGGGAGGAAAATTGATGATTCCAAAACTCCACGTCAAGGGTAAATTCAACAAAATCAAAATCAGTCATGATCTAACACGTGATCATCGCGTTGAGCTGCGAGAATTGATTGCCAAAGCTAAAACTAAAGAAGCTAATGATGGCCATTTTTTATACAGAGTGAGGGGCCAAGTGGGACGCTGGAAAATAGTAAAGCTTCAAAAAACTGCAATCATCTAGTATTAAATTTTGGTCTTCTTAATATAAGGTCTGTTATAGCAAAGTTTAATGTTGTTTATCATTTGTTATCTGGTGGATTGGACATTTTCCTTTTGTGTGAAACGTGGCATGGTTCTCCTGAAGATCCTTCTATTCAGTTGGCCATGCCGCCAGGTTTTAGTTTCTTGCATATGTTGAGGCCTCATCATCCTTACCATGGTGGTCATATTGTTTTTTTCAAGAAGATGTTCAAGGCCAGGAAAATTGAAGTTCCGGTTTTTCAGACCTTCGAGGCTATTATAGTTGAATTTTCTTTTGAGCGTCGCAAAGTTTTTGTTTTTGGTATTAACAGACCAGGTTCAAAATTGGTCACATCATTGTTTTTTGGTAAGCTGACATCGGTGTTGTAACATTTATTTGCATTGGGTGATGGTTTGATAGTGGCTGGGGATTTTAACATTCATATTGAAAGGCCTGGTGATACACACTCAATTAATCTGCTTGAAATATTTGATTCGTTTCAGTTAACAAACGTGGTTAACGAGCCTACCCATAACTTGGGTGGCACACTTGATTT